GGACACAAAGCTCTGGATAATGGCACCGACACATCCCGAATGGAATCAAGAAACCGGAGGGAAAGAGGTGGCAGCAGCCTTTGCTGACCAAATCCGGGAGAAGAATGGTAAACATCTTCAGTCTATCCTCCCTGAACAAAGTAAAACTGACCGAAAACAATCAAGTCCTCATCACAGGCATAAGTCCCGACAGCATCGGCTCGTCAATGGCCAGCTCCATCGCATCGCAATCGCCCGCCCTCCTAATCCTTGCTTCCCGCACTCCCTCGAATCTCAACAACGTCGCTCAGTCAATCCGTGATGAATATCCAACCGTAAACATCCGAACAGTGCTGCTTGATCTGATGTCTCAGGAATCCGTCAAGAAAGCCGCTGAAGCAGTTTTGCAATTGATAGATAAACTCGATGTAATAATCAACAACGCCGGTATAATGACGCCTAATAAGGTATGGACAGTCGAAAAAATAGAAGGCCAATTTGGCGCCAACCACATCGGCCACTTCCTCTTCACCAATATCCTCATGCCACTGCTCAAAAACTCCGCTACCCAGAACACCCCCGGTTCGACGAGGGTTGTGAACTTGACGAGCTTAGGGCATAGGTTATCCCCAATCCGGTTTCATGACTATAATTTCGAGGGAAAGGAAATACCCGATGACGAGCACCCGCCGTCGAACCTGCCGCTGATCTTCCAGGCGAAGGGGGAGGACGGGTATAATGGGTATATAGCGTATGGGCAGGCGAAGGCGGCGAATGTGCTGTTTTCGGTGTATTTGACCCAGAAATTGAAAGAAAAAGGAATTGTGAGCTATGCTGTGCATCCGGGATGTAAGTCTGGGTTCTTGGATTGTAAAAACCAAATTTATAAAGGGGTAACGCTGACGCACAAAAGCAATATGGACCGGCCTGTCCCGCGACCTCGACTCCGAAGGTCAAGCAGCCATCAAAGCCACTTCCACATTCTGGAAGAACCACGATCAGGGTGCTGCGACGGCTTTGGTTGCCGCTTTCGATCCGGGGCTCAGTGGTATGTAAACATTCAAACTTCGCTTAGAATCCTGAGGGTGTAGAGTGACTAAAATTTAATCTGTAGACCCTCCGGGTGTATTGATGCATAACTGCCAAATGTGCGATCCGGCTCCGCATGCGAATAATCTGGAGGTCGCGGAGCGGTTGTGGGGGTTGAGTGAGAAGCTTGTTGGGATTGAGTTTAGAGTGTGATGGGCTGGATCCCGTGTAAACCCATTTAGCGTCTGATAAACGGAATGAAAAGAAAGACGGAATCGCAAGTTGTCCATGCCTTATTGGTGGGGCTTGTTCTGAATCTGATGTTAATCGATTAGAGGTTTAGGGAAATTAGAGGATGATTATGAGTAAAATGTTTGTATAAAAATGTTCTATATTGGTCGTGGATTCTGTATACACCGGTGACTCTTCTCTTGAAAATAGTCGCCACTAAAGCGTCTCACAAATGGATTTGAAATAAGCAAGTCTTCTGTGCGGCTTTTATCTTTTTTGTTGTCTGAAATTTTTGGCGTGATATATGCGTATCATAACTTCATAAGATGCATATCCGATGGGGCGGGCCTTACTCAACATACACTATAGCTTCCGCAGCAGCCTAACAGCGTGTTAGTCAAACCAAATTCTCCATTGTAAACACCCTGTTTTACTTACCTTCTCATTGCTCCAGACTGCCTCCTCCGTACTCTTCTTCGCCACTTTCATCTTCTCATCTGGTACCAACCTCCCAGTACAAACATACTTCCTAAACTTCCTCGCCGGCAGCTTGGTCGCGAACATCTCGTCAATTTCCTCCAAAGTGCGGTTCTTGATTTCCGGAAGGAAGAAATAAACCCATGCGACCGTGACGAAGCAGCTGGGGGCCCAGATGTAGCCGTATTTAGGGCCCCAGCCCAGGGCGTCCGGGTTAATGAAGTAGGGAGCTGTGAAGGTCGCAAGCCACTGTGAAGGGTTAGTTTGGGATTAGCTATGTAAGGTACGAGTGGACATGTAGGGTAGGGGAGGGGAGAGGCATACTGCTCCAGCAAATCCAATTGAAGCCGCGATACCGAAAGTGTAGGATCTGAGGCGCTGTGACGGAATTTCTCCGCCAGCCAGCCAGGCGTAAGTCGCAACCATCCCCTGCATTAATTAGTCAGGTGCACTTCCATTGTGAGGAGAAGACTTACATTATACCCCATGATATATAAAACAGACATGGCTACAATAATCTTCCCAGTTTTCGACGTATTCGGCGAAGTATCATACACACACGCAACAACAAGTTGCGTAACACCACAAAACGCCATGCCCACCATGAGAAACACTCGGCGCCGACCGAACTTCGAGATGATGCTGCTGTTGATGATGATGGCGATGACGCCAACGGCGGTTAGGATACACGAGTTTTGGAATGCGTTGCCGACATGGGCCATTTCGAAGAAATAGGTTCCGTAGGCTGAAGGTTCGCAAATCTTCAGTGAAGGTACAACGACAGAGGATGGTAATGGACTTACCGATCATGAACATAGCCCCACTCGCCGCCTGCGTCGAAATTGCCCCAATAGCAAGCAGCGTGCGTCTCCTATCCACAGGATCCCTCACCACATCCCACAAGTTTGCGCTCTTCTCCAGCTCTTTGTCGGCCAGGATCGTAGCTTGCATTTCTGCGAGCTCTTCTTCCACACCATCCTTATGCGGACGCAGCCAGAGCAGGGACTTTCGAGCCTTATCGTCTTTGCCTACGCCGAGGAGCCAACGGGGGGATTCGGGGATGAAGAAAAGACCAATGGCGAGGAAGGCGGGGACTATGTAGATTATACCGAGGGGAATGATATAAGAACGCCTGTCCAGGATTGGAGCGGTGAAATTGTCGACGATGGTGCCGATCAGGCTGCCTGTTCGGTATAAGTAAGTAGCTCTTGAATCCAGCTTAGAGCATGTATTACCTATCGAGGTCCAGAACTGGAAAATAGAAATAAACATCCCGCGGTATCGAGCTGGGGAGCTTTCCTGGACAAAGTATTAGAAGAAAGGTTCGGGTTTCATGAAGCTCGATTTACCTGAATGTAGAGCTGGGAGAAAGTCATAAACCATCCATTTGCGATTCCTATCAGAAATCTTCCAGCATAAAGGCCGGACATGTTTATGGTTGTCATCATAACGACATTAGAGACACAGCACAGAGTGCATGCCATCCAGAGACAGGTTTTACGGCCTATTTTCATAGCGAAGAATCCTGAAAATGAAATTAGAAAAAATTTACTATATAGACAAAAACTCATACCAGCGCTGGAAGAGCTGATAAAAGCTCCCAATGTCATCAAGGAGGAGATAAGTTGTTGTCTTCCGGGTGAGATATTGTAGCCTATTGGGGTAGTAGGGTCCTTATGGCCAAAAACCTATAAAGTGTAAGTCCATTTCAGTTATCAGTTCAGTTTTTCGTACGTACCTTGAGGAAACCCGGCATTGCTTGGAGAGAACCTGCAATCATGAGTACAAAAACGAAACGTAATGGAAGGTTACTACCTATCAGACCAAAATCAAGGCCATATTGAAAGGGCGACATGCTGACCAGTGTACAAGCGAGGATGCATTTCCAGTTCTCCTTTAATCTGCTTCCTATTGAAGCTTCCGGCATGGTGTATTATGTTCAACCCCCAAACTCTTTATGGGAATCCAACAATGCAATAATTCTGAAGGGGATAAAGAGTGCGAATTGGGCCTGGAGCAAGGGAAATAGTAAAATGGAGTGTGGGGCCAGAGGAAGAAAGAATATTTGGAGGGAAATGGCGAGCGAAATGGGATTCGTTGTGGTTAAGATACAGAGAGCGTCTCTCTGCAGGCACTCTTGATAGGAATGTATAGAGGAATGTATAAGTGCCTGTTCCCAGCAGGGGGCGGGATGAAAGCGCAAATAAGCTTCCAATAAATAAACTGACATATCCAAAACCTGTCGATCAATCCAAATGATTAAGACATGCATCAGCTCACAATGCAATTCAATATCTGCCGACCCATGTTACTTTGCCTTGCTCGCACCAATCCAATATGTGGGATAAAGGGTACATCCCTTTGCTCCGCAAACCACCCCTTGATCACCGCTGGACATGTTCGCATCAGGTATGTATAACACTGCGGGTAAGTCTGGAATCCCTGGATTGTTGCCACCAACCTAAGTGTAGTTTCGTAGCGGCTGCAAATTGTAGAACATCGATAGAAGCGAGGTTGTCTGGTGAATCCAGTCCGAGGCCCCAGTGCAGCGATATAGCCGTTACGGGGTTGATTGGAATCCAGTGCACAGTTGATGGACTGAGCTTTCCCCTTGTCCGTTAGATAGGTGTGCAATGATGCAGGGTGGATTGTTAAGGTCCTGTTTTCATTTTGCGATACAGCGACTGGCACAAAAGAAGGGTTCAGTTAACGTGTCTTAATTTCTTTGGGCTGATAAGAAGTTAGAGATGAATAAGTTGAGATTGAGTATGGACGTAAGGATGTGTAGAGCGGCAGAATTGAGGATGAGGTTGGGAACGAAGAAAATGCGGGGAACCACTTGCATGTTTGCGGTATAGCGGTTCCTTTAAGTATGAGCACGTGATCCTACCATTCATGTCGCTTAACTTGAGGGTAACCACATAATAGCCATCCTGGTAGTTAAATCTCTGTGCAATATAACACATAGTGCCATGTTGGATTGCTCCTCAATGGGAATGCATACATGAGCCTTAAAGAATATATTAATAACTTGGCTTATGATCTTATGTTATTCTCGATACGTCGAGTCTACTTTCATTCTTTTGTTACCAAGCCCATTCCTCGGCAGTACGCGATGAAATTATGTGCAAAAAACGTTAAAATAAGAATTTTTTAATGTTGTGTGGGTTCCTCATTGATAAACCTTTTTTTACTTGCTATCCCTGTATCGATTCACGAAACGTGAAAAAAGAACTCACTGCTCCTCCAGATATGCAGCATAAGCAATCCATAAGAAAAAAAAATGGACACTGTGGGAATTGAACCCACGACCTTTCACATATACATATTGAATGCGAAGCGAAACTAATAATTGGTTAGCTCTATCATACAGATTATTGATTTGAAATAACTTACATCATACCCCTAGACCAAGTGCCCGCTTAATTGATAAACAAAAAACTATTAAATTCACAAATAACCAATACTTTAATTAATGAGGTAATTTTCTCACCGATTTAGCGTTCTAGTTAGTAGGATGCTAATTTTGAGTCAAAAAGTCGGAGCGGAGGGCGCAAATCTCCGAAAGCCGCGGTTGGTCTAAATCTGGGGAGATACGAGAGGATATGGTCCACGAGAAGCGAAGCAACCATTCGCACAAATCCCAAACTTTATATGTTATAATTGCAAAAAGAAAAATGAATGATGGAGATGCTGGGACTCGAACCCAGGCTGGCGCGGCCACAACGCGACGTCATACCCCTAGACCACATCTCCGTGTTCTCTGTTTGCTTGATGAAATAATCTTATTATTATTTATTAAAATGCATTAAATTATGTGTAAAGAACCAGTCTGGGTTCTCTCGCTAGATAATATTAAAATTGAAAACATAAAAGACGCTGAAAGATGAACATGGTAAGAGACAAAATGGCCAACTCGTAATGAGAGCCCGCCACGGCGGATCTTTTCTTTGATCAGCATAATTCAACGTCAAAATCCCACGGGCTCACTATGAACCTATAGCTCAAACGACAATTAGAGAAAGTCCGCTGCGGCAAGCAAATAGAATTTTCTAAGATGGCAGTTCGGAATAGGTTCACCTTGTGCGGCCCACCCGAGCGAAACTGATAAGCGAACATATATTCAAAATTATATTATTCACTCAATATTAACGTGAGCAAAAATGTGCCTCAGTAATTCATACAGCTGGAGGTATTCAAGTCGAGCGTGCCGTCCTAGTAAACAATAAGAGGTGCTCTTGCCTCGGCGGTGACGAAACCCAACTCAAATCCGACGACATCCGGAAAGCCACGACACGACCAACATCACAACTCTTCTCCATGTCTGTCCTCGGCCTATATTCCGGATTTCATTCTGCGCACACGTTTTGACCAGTGCTATTAGCTTGCAAAGAACAACATGGTATACAAGGTGAAACCCATGCCGGTTTATAGGTTTATCTTCTCTCCGAGGACCCGCTAGCAGAGCACCATTGCACTATGCGACGTCAAAAGTAGAGCATTCTTGAATGTATGAAGAAGAGGCTCCGATCATGTGAACCGCAGACTGGAGACATTCAGCATGTATATATCGATATTCGATCCGTAATGCTCAACTCCGTGCTGCTTGCTGCGCTCAACATTTAGTAGCATAACCTCTAAAGTCTAGCCCTCCTATTTTACTGCTCACATCTGCTTTAGTAACATACGCAACTCAATCTAATACCTCCACGCGCTTACAACACCTGCATACCTTGATCCGATGGAGTGGTTTCGGCTGTTCCACTTGCATGAGACGATATTTGCCGGTCATGCTGCCCCACCAATACCACCACGATCATTGTGGGGTGAAGAGAGTGGGAGAAAGACTAGGGAGTGCTGCAGCGATATGTTACCAAAAGGAAACTCATGGCGCTGAAGTGAGATTCGTCACTTCTATTGAATTACTTATATCTGAAGCTTGAATATCCCCGTCATTTTATGAAGTGCACTCCCCACGAACCTTAACACCTGACCTAGACCCTCAACTCTCAGCATTCGGAAAACTCTAAACACATCGAAGCCATGGCGATTGAAAAGTTTCTCGAGGGATTGCCGCTGTATGACTTGCAGCATAAGGTTTCGAAGTTTGGTGCTGTCAATGTGGCCCTCGTCATGCTACTTACCGGAGCACTAGCAGTTCTTGCTGATTATATCTGGATGCTATATTTGAGATCAAAAATGGTACGCTCCATTGCCCTTCGCAAATTAATGCTGACTATGCTAGCCTCCAGGACCTTTGCCATTACCAATCGTTGGCAACACCTACTCACTTCCAGACAATAAGCCTTGGATCCATTTTGAAGAACTGGCCAAAAAATATAATTCTCCAATCATCACCTTTTGGATCGGGAGGTACGAGAAAATTCGGGAGCATCTTTCAACAAATCTTATTCTAATCCAATACAGAAACCCTACAGTTTGGATCAACGATGCATGGACGGCATCAGAGCTTCTGGAGAAAAGGGCTGGAATTTATTGCTCTAGACCACGTATGCTGGTCTTCGCTGAACTGGGAGCCGGACAAAACAATCTCGTCAATATGATCACGACCACTCCCGCAGAAAGAGAACGATTTCGCATTCACCGGAAACTCACTCATCAAGGAGTTGGAATTCAGCAGGTGAAAAAGTACCGAGACTTACAAAACGACGAGAGTAAAGTAGTAGCACATGACTTGCTTTCCACCCCTCACGACTATGTTGCTCACTTCGAACGGTATGCAACCAGCGTCGTATCTATAATCGGCTTTGGGTGGAGAGTGTCGGATCCGAAAGACCCAATTATTACCGAAGTTATTGCTGTAATGCACCGAGCGGCGGACCTAAACGTGCCGGGTAAAACATTTCCAATGTTGTTGGAAACATTTCCCATCCTCGCCAAAGTCCCGACCAAAATAGCACCATGGAAGCATGGCCTCGGATCGAAACGGAAATCTCGTCGTGGCCACGACTTTTTTTATTCACTCGCAGCCGAAGCCAACGAAAAATCGGCAAACGAAGCTTGTTTCGCCAAATTTCTATTCAAAGAGCAGCCTAAATACAACCTCAAACCCCAGGAGATCTCCGCTATGTCGGGTAACCTATTCGGTGCTGGCTCCGATACTTCCAGCAGCACTCTAATCACCGCCGTTTTGGCTATGCGAGCATTCCCGGAGGCATTAATTCAGGCGTGGGAAGAACTCGACCGAGTCGTCGGTACTGAGCGTAGTCCTTCCTTTGAAGACGACGCAAATCTTCCCTATATGCGCGCTTTTGTGAAGGAAGTATTCCGTTGGCGCTCGGTTGCGATCATTGGTGGTCAACCACATGCTCCCGTCCAAGACGACTATTACAATGGCTGGCTGATTCCGAAAGCCACCTGGGTGCAAGGAAATGTATGGGCTATTCACCATAATGAGCGTGAGTTCCCAGACCCAGATCGTTTTAATCCATCGAGGTTCCTTGAAGGGAGCCCCGACTCACGACCTTTCCCTGGAGAACGGGGCTATATGACTTTTGGGTGGGGTCGGAGGGTGTGTTCTGGGCAGGCACTGGCAGAGCAAGGGACGTGGTTGACGGTTACGAGGTTGGTTTGGGGGTTCAAAATTATGCCTGCGTTGGATAACCATGGGAATCCAATTCCTGTTGATATTTTCAATTACACGTAAGTAATCAGTGAGAACAGATTAAGCTGGTAGCTAACGCCCAAAAAGCAATGGTCTTAATATGCGGCCTCAACCATTCTCAGTTCGGTTCATGCCACGTAACGAAGCAATCCGACAAACAATCATCCGCGAAGGGGAACAAGCTCTCGCCAATCTCGCGCAGTATGAAGGGGAAACTAAGTACAGGTTAAGCACATTCAATTATCGGATGATATAAAAACAAAATTTAACGATTTTATAGGATGAGCACTTTCTACAAATAGAACAGCTGACAGGTTAGCTGTTCAACTCACCAGAGGCTCACCCTAGCTTTAACTCGTTATTTGCTCGTACGGATAGGATTCTTCACCGCCGTTGCCCTCTTTATATAACTGATGTATACATCATCTACGAATAAGTGTACCTACAGAGCACCATGGTCAGATAGACTTATTCACAATTCTGTGTTTCCGCCAACCACACCTTGCAACAAGGCTTAGGGGAAGATTTCGGATCTCGGGTATGTAACCATCTTAACAGACAGCTTGCCTCTCTGGATTGTCCGATTAGCGATGGGTCCTATGCGATCTACGTAAGAAGAGAAGGCCTAAAGGTAATAGCGTTTTCCGACGTTCTGTTCCTTGTATATATTGGCTGATACTATATATTTCTTAAAAGATTCCACAATTGCGGATTCTCGCAATATTCGCAGTCTTTAGCGCCATCTCTGCATGATCTATCCGACAAACAACTCACCTGTCGACTTGAGGAATCCCCGCAGCAGACAGAGCTCTATTCCCACCGGATTATTAACTTCAACTTATCCGGATAGACTCTTCTTCATGCAAAATATTCTTTCACACTCAGGGAACGCACTCAAATTCGAGCAACGTTTAACCATACCCAAACACTCTCAGCGAGTCAGCGTACAATCCATCAGCGTGCCATTGTAAAGAGAGCCTGTCTCCGTCCTCATCTTCCTAGGCCTATACTTCCCAGCGGTATCCTCTGTGAGGGAGAAATCTAGGAAAGCTTTGTGGAGCACTGGCGATGGTGAGGAAGTAATCTTCTAGGAGGGAATAGTGGAGATTGGGTTGGCGTTCAATAAGAATGAAGAAGAAGTGGAGGAAGAGATAATCCGTTGGAAAGATTTCGGAGTCTTCCAGGCAAGGTGATGGTAACCTTTGGGCTCGAAAGGGCTGAACTGGCGTCGTGCGCGACTCCCCTGTTGCATTTATTATCGTGGACTGGGATAGATGTTTGTCGCGAGAGGTGAGGGTGACATATAGGAGCCGAAAAATGGCTTATAAAAGGGTTTCGATTTTTTAAGCCCAATGGGTTTCCGTCTTCCGCCTTCCGTATCTTTTTCCCACGGTTTTCTCAAATTTTGTTATCCCGCTAAGATTTCTCTCGGTTTTGGAGTGGATTGGATTTGGACCGTCACAAGGTAATATCCCAAAATAGGTAATTGTCGGCCTGACGAGGCAACAAAAGATCAATATATAACATATTGACTAAAATTTGAATATACGATGACACAAGATTTTAACCTCTCTAAACAGAACGGGGTTTCGGCTCCGTGGTGGAGGCTAAAAATACCAGACAGCTATCTCAAGACTATTCAGATTTCTACTTCCTAAATATTGAATATCAAAAGGAACATTCATTCATTTCCACGTCATATTATAAATCGAAGTATTCACAACCCTTTCCCCGTTCCTGCATATACATATTCCGGTTCTATAGCTGCGCACCTAGTATACTAGCCTTTTATAACTACATTCTGAATTTGTTGCGCAACATGAACGCGACTTAAAATTCACTTGGACTCAATGTTATTACTTAAGTTCCCCAGGCAGTATAGTATGGACAATTTATCTCAGTATATTTTTTAAATTATCATGGAATCCAGTTTACAGACCGGTGGGTTGAGGCATTAGGGGTGCGCATTTAGAGGCATGGTATGCATGTAACTGGGATTGTCCGCTACGTAACTAAAGAGGGCTGACGAAACTGTAATATGTACCGAAAACCTTTTATAGGTAACTACGGAGTTTTCATTACTCTACCTATTATAGCTGTTCAAAAATGGGATACGGTTTCATACATTTGG